AAGAGACGAGAAGGTAAATAGTACTAGAAGGTAATACTTTTGTAATTACATGACTGAATTACAGTAAGATTGTATTGGAAAGATTGAACAAAGTGGGACTCAAACTTTAGAAAGTAGCTAAATGAGAGCCATTTTAATCGTATTGTTTTAGAAGAGATTTTGGATTATGCTGATAAACAAAAGTTAAGAATGTATATAAAAAATGACTTTTGCATTAGATTTTATTTAACTTTTGTTTAAGTCATCCTGCAACTGGAAATTCCGTTAAGACCATGTCTTACAACTAAAGGTCTGGCAAATCAATAATAACGGCTATTTAACGAAAACAAATTGAACACCGTAATAAGGGTAAAATGACTGTTTCCAAACTGTATGGAACTTTATATAGGGAACATTACTGGAACTACATGACAACTTAGGGCCGGTATTACGAAAGTCCGCTAGCCGAAAAGTCCATCGAGATCCAATTTGTGACGGGGCAGGCTAAACATATCCACGCAACCCCCATCCCAACATCGAGTTACGACAAACTTTTTTTGGAAAACGGGATTTCGAATTCTGGGCTTTAATCTATTGAGGATTTTGTGGGATTTCTTTGTATGATTTTATTATAATCAATGTTATGGGTTACTTTGGGTTAACTCTGGATCTACCCCTTCTAAATATAAACTCTATTTATATCTTAATAGGATAACCTTTTAATATAATAGGGCAGTGGGGTGTTAGATCTCGAAATATCACCCCTTAAATTTAAAATTTTTAAATATCACCCATAACAATAGCACAGTCATTATTGTAGTCTTTATTTCCAAGAACATAATAAGAAAAAAGACCACACATGAAAATCGCCTGTCGTCAATTTTGGGGAGCAGGGTCAAGATTAAATATATATCTTTATGATGTCCAATAAGTCTTTTCTATCTTTTCCGTATGAAGTTAAATAGCACCCAGGAGCTTAGACTTTTATTAAGATCCAGTCGCCGGGTCGTGGTATTTTTAACAGTAATATACGGGTGGAGATTTACCCCGGACGTGAACAAAAATTGATAGCCACTCGTTTATCAAAGATATTCCAGCGATGAAAAATCAGGCCTGCCTAAACTCCAAGAAACACCACAACGAACTTGAGCTTTCGGTTACTGGGTTCGATGTGTAGGCATATACGAAGATTTCGTAGTAGGTGAAGGGCATTAGATTGACTTGGGCCTTCACCGAAAATTTATGGAATAAATTGCTTATACATATTCCTTCGGACAGCGCCACCTACCGTCCACGACGGGAACCTCGCGGGCCGTTACATTTTATTACCATAAATTATTAAACTTCACTTTAGAGATGAATAATTCAGTTTAAACTGTAGTCAACCTGACGCTCGTGCGCGGTCCACGAAGTGCTGAATAATTCGCGGAACCGCGCCCTCTAGTGGATGTACCTGAAGAACACCTATTGGGAATTAATCCACAATGAATCCATCTTACAATTAGACTTGCAATGGTGTGGAAACATTATTAAAATAGCTCTTTTAATACCGGTACTATATGTTGAGTAATATACAACAATAACATTTTTTTTTTAATCTAAATGTAAAACGATTGATGTTATACATAGATTAAATAGTAAACGTTTCGCTCGTTTATTCCTATTAAATATATTTCCTTTTTACAAGATAATGATGGAAACGAATAGAGCTGCCATTGCTAAATGGATAAAATACCATTAATGTGGGACTATCTAATAACTTATCTTATTAATTTTAATGAAAAGCATTTCTTTTCATAATGAAAAATTCCCTTTTTCATAAAATCGACAATGTAATATTTATACGCCTCCCAGCAAAGTTTTCTTGTATATTTTTCTTGATATTACAGTTTATTTCCACTGTTGATGTGTAATTTGTCTCTCTATGCTTGCTACACTAGTACTTATTCTAAAATCATGTCCTTTTCCATTATGCCTTCCAGTACTAAAATTACATTTTCTGTGGTATAATTAGATCTTCCTGTGCCATAATATTTATTCCAGTACTAAAACTACTAAAACTAAAACTTCCTATTTTCACTGATACAAATGTAGTATATAAATCAGCAACTTCATCCAAACACGATATCGGAGAATTCAAAATTTGGTCTTTAATTTTTTGTTCAATGTGTTAAAAGTTTAAACTTTAACATGATTATTGTTACTAGTTAAACGCCCTTTAACAGTTAGATTTACATCGGATGATTACGAAAACCACCCTCAATCAACTCAAATCACAGTTATAGCAGAGAGTTTCTGATCTACACGAAACCGTATTGCAATAGTTGAGCAGAATACGTTGCGTTGAGCTATTACGAGTTTTGGAATGAAACTTTATTACAATTTATGCTATCTGTCTGGTTTAAACTACATTAGGTGGTCACCAACAATAGTTCTGTTTTTTAGATAACTTCTGAGCCGAAAATAAGCCACAAGCAACAGCTTAAAAAACATATGCAGATCAAGTCTTTTTAAAACTTGTAATCTAGGTTCGTATGTTTCGAAACCTGAAGTTAAGCTAAGCAGAGACTATATGAAATGAAACTAAAGATACATAGTATAGTATTGCTGCCTGGGCCTATACTCATGGATAACCAAATTGAAATTATAATTTACGCATTGTTACATGAAAAAGTTAAAAGCATATCGCTATTTCTTGAAGGGTTCACTGATGATGACAGGTGCCAATGATGATGGCAATTGACATCGATTATGTCAAGTTTCTCAATTCAATTCTCTCATTTTTGTGTCATAGATCGTGACGGATGTGGTTGGTGAAGTATACTAGCTCTTTATGATAAGCTGTTTGATATCATTGATTTGGCAATGCATAAAACTGTGAATGGTTCTTGAAGTTGTATTGAAGTCATTATCCTATATGGTTTACAAAGGAAATTATAGAAATGGTACCAACATCATTTTCATCTCAATGTCAAATCTATTGACTTAAGTTGTTGTAAGAATTTCGTATTTCTTATTAAAAGGTACACTCTTTTTTGTATCAATTTTCTAAATTCAGTGATTTCAACTGAAGGCTGTAAAATGTTATTTGTTACCATAAAAACCTACATTTTTGTTGATTTTGAGTACATTCTCAGTTAATCCAAGAACATTGTCATTTTAATTAATTGTGTTCCAGCAGTTAACATGTTGTGGTTTTATTGTAGACATGCTTGTCTAAGGTTGTATTACTTGTTATGTTTTATTCTAGTGATTGCGTCGTATTTAGAAAGAACTATAGTTTTGACACATGCTCCATAATCTTTCTAATCTATACGAAACCATATTGCAATATTTGAGAAGAATATGTTGCGTTGGGTCATTACGAGTTTCGGAATGTAGTTTTTATTTCAATTCATGCTCTGTCTCTGATCGAAATTACATTTGGTGGTCACCAACAATAGTTCTGCTTATTTAGATAACTTGTTAGCCGAAAATAGGCCACAAGCAACAGCTTAAAAACGAAATGTCTCGGTGTTGATGTGACTTTTCAATGAGGTTGTGTGGATGATAAAGATACATAGTATTTAGATACATAGTATAGTGTTGCTACCTGCACCGTTAGTCATGGATAACCACATTAAAATTCTAATTTACACACGGTTACATGAAAAAATTAAAAGAATGTCGCTATCGACATCGATTATTTCAAGTTTCTCAATTCAAAGAATCTCTCTCTCATTTTTGTGGGATATAGATCGTGGCGGATATGGTGGGTGAAGTGTACTAGCTTCTTTATAATAAGCTGCTTGATATTATTGATTTGGCAATGCATAAAAATGTGAATAGTTCTTGAAGTTGTGTTGAAGTCGTTATCCTACATGGTTTACGAAGGAAATTAAAGAAATGGTACCAACATCGTTTTCATCGCAATTGATTTAACTTGTAACAATTTCGTATTTCTTATTAAAAGGTACACTCTTTTTGATATCAATTTTTAAAATTCAGTGATTTCAACTGGAGGCTTTAACGCGTTATTTGTTTACACAAAAACCTACATTTTTGTTGATTTTGAGTACATTCTCAATTAATCCCAGAACATTGTTATTTTAATTTTATTAAAAAATTCGTTTTTCTTATCTTAAAATTTCTTGATTATAACTCAGTTTTGAGAAAAGTTCTGAATTTTTATAATTTTAAACTTTAGAATGTATTGATTTAAATAGTTGAAACATCATAATTTTTATTATAATATACACTCGTTTTAGCATAAATCTTGAACATTTTTTAGTAATTTCGTATCTTTTATCAAAATCTACGCACTTTTTATTACATATGTTGAAAATTTCTTGAATATAACCGAAGTTTTAAAAATGTTGTCATTAAATTAATTCTCTTTAAATAGTTACAAAATAAATAGTTTTTGATATATTTGTTACGGTAATTAAAAATATTATTAACGAAAGATCAATGATCTGTTGCCTGTAACTTAGGTTTAATTACTCAATGATCTAATATAGTATTAATTATTGCTGGAGGCGTAAATTTGGAACGATTATCGATGCAGAGCCAATCACAATTAGCAATCAGCGGGCTAAATTATATTCAGCTTCAAACGTTGGCCATAGGGACAACTACTAACAATTGCCCACCGTTTGGAGAAGGAATACATTAATATAAATTAGACGGGAATTTCGTGTTACCACTTAGGTTTAAATGATGGTTAACGTTCTGTTACCGATGTAAATGCCGGTAACCAATATCGAAACGAGTAGCTGCCAAAATGCTGTCATCGCGGGACGTATACTAATAAAACGCTAGCAATGGAATTATTACTATTAATTAAATTTTCCGGTCGAATTATTGAATTTGGTTATGCGCAGTGTACCGACAAAATTACCACGTTATTTACACAACTAATCGCGATTTTCGACCGCTCCATATCTCGCAATGAAAATCTGCTGTGATTTAATTACTTTCGGTGTGGCAAATTACCATGACCATTGATTTTCAATACGAATTTACGTGATTTATGGGCTTACCTATAAATTGGCAAATGTTCGTCTTTATACCAAACGACCAGGAGGACGCTGTCGTTGGGCGCTGGTGGTGTCAGATCGCACGGTAACTCAGCAGTTCCTCCGACAATAGCCTGGACGTGCGTAACGAACGCTCCTGAAATGCAAAAGGAATACGTAAACGGTCTGTTCTCGATCATAAATCATCATAAATGCACGGACAGAATAAAAATTATATGTATTTTTACGTCTCGGGAGGGAGAAGGGAACCGCGCTCGCTCCGCAGCATCGGATATTCAGGGCGTTTATTTTATTTCCCGAATTCGTTGCCTGCATACGGACTTTGTCTCGGTCCTCTACTGCAAGTTTTAGTTATACGCGGGCGACATGTCCTGGGTATCATTTATAAATGATATTTGGACTACGTGATCTGAGTACGCCAACGTCGAAAGGATTGTCGGGTGAATTTAATTTCAGAGCTTTTAAGTCAAGAAAAACTTCTGTTACTTTAATCACTGTACTCCCATCTCTTTTCTTCATATAACCTCCACTTTCTATTAATTCTTGAACTGGCTTGAACCCAGATGAATTCGTGTAAGGATTGCAGTGCGGCAAACCACCTAGACACTATTCGAGTAAAGCAATTCCACTCTGCGACAATGTGTTAGGTATCCCGGACAAAGGAACCGTTCTAGCTAATGGTGGGAAAATAGTATCTTAGAAATTCTTGTATGAAACGGGGCTATTATAGTCCGTTGATGGACGAAAACGGTTATGATAAAAGCGTTTCTTAAACTTTTATCGTGGTTACAGAAAGCTAAATAAACATTTTAGGTAATTAGAAGTCCATTATAATAACGTTTTAGTGTTAAATTTTTGTAATCGGTGATTTATATATACTATAATATAGCAAAGAACCGTTTTGACAAACATGTTGCAATTTTGGACCCAACCGCACATCTGCACGTTTCGTTATTTGTATTTTTATTTTCCGTCCGCGGTCCCACGTAGCCCTCTACGCCGGATTCTACATAAATATGAACATTTGAGAACGGACGAAATTCCTTTTATTCGTTGTACGTGAACAGAAAACTCGCTATCCAAGAAATCCTACCAGATTTATTCGTTACTGCACCCGTACATAACGAAAAATTTTATTACGCAACGTAGGAAGCGAGTTTCATAGTGAATATCTTTGAATACGCGGATTCATCGCGTGGATGTACTCTAATATTTGTGAATTATTGAAACGTTCTGGGAATTGTTCTTTCTTATTGTTTCGTTGTCACCATTTCTCGAATTATTTCCTATATCATTATCTGAAACTTAAATGACTCCTTACTTACACTAAAATATCTCTCTATAAGAAACTACCATAACTCTCGGTGGTGATATTTTATCCGTATCATAAAACCACGTTATACCGTTATTAAATATATCTTTTCGAGGCGAGAGCTATGAGAGAAGTAAGGGCGCAGGAGCGCAGCGTGTGGGGGTCGTGGTGATTTTATGTTCGAGACCCAGGACGTATATAACGCCGTATATAACCATTAGGTGGCATAAAATGTCTCCCACGGCGCGTCAGGTGCTGCGATGCGCAGCCGGTATAAATTAAATTAATCATTGCGAAATGTCGACCTAGATGTTATGACGTGAAATGTAAATGATCGCCAACAGTGTGGACAGGTTGGTGCCTGCAACATCATGCAGTACAAAAACCGTTGCTCTGCAGAGTACGAGATTCGAGAGAAAAATAAGCGTCATCATCCGTAATCAAAACCGGGTCGGACGAAGTGATGGTAATCTGTGGAAATATATTGGGTTTTAAAATGGTCCTTCGTCGAGTCCCAATTTATATAGAGTATATACATAATGGAAGGGATCTAGCTGTGGACGAACCTCCTCTAATCTAGATTACTGGAACTTTCAGAGGCCGCGGATTTCAAAGGATAAAACCAGCTACGGAGGGAGATTATGAAAAAAATAAAGCAAAACGGAAAAACAGTCCACGGAAATGTTCGGTTTTTGTATCCGTGTCTTAAAAGTTTGTCGACAGAGAATTTATTTATGAGGATTTAAATGGAGTGTTGGAGAAGTTCCAAGAAAATAATTTGATCAATTTATCCGATTCTCCAAGTCATAAAACACGCATTATGAGGGCGTTCATTGAAATAAATCAGCAACCTGTCGGTAGAAATCAATTAAATGATTTTTAGAGGATCATCCATATCGATTATATTCACTTTTACTATAGCTAACCTCTATACGAAAAGTAATTTAATATTTCCTTAACTTGTAAAAGCCGAAACTGGTACAGAACGTCTGTTGGCGCAATTTCTTTAATATATTTCCAAGTGCGGGCAGTATCGTCGAAGCGGAAGCAGCAATAAGGTCGCATTTAGCTTAAGTACTTTCCGTGGCTGCCGACCAAAAGCACCAATAACGACTGGGATACGTGCGGATGTGTAAACACCAAAACTCCCAACTTTCCCGGTTTGCCCTGGCAGAAGAAATTCTCACGGCTTCTTTTTCTAAGTTTACCCTCAACGACCCAATGTGGCGTTTATTAAATTATATCAATTGTAGTATTTTGTTGCTCTATAAAAATTAATAGGATGGGACACACCCAACTTTCCCACATAGCCCTGATTGGTTCACAAGAAGAAAAACTAACAATAAGATCTGAACTTGTGTATGGCAATTTATCAAAACCAGATTCTCATTTTATTCGCACTGTTGCAAATTTTGGATAACTAATGAACATTCTATTAACTAAATCTGTTAACATAGGATGAGATGATGAGTGTCACATCCGAACGAGTATATATGTATATTACGTTTATTGACTATGTACTCTCACAGTGCAATCACAGAATAATAATTTCATTGAGGGTGTTTAAGACATCAGTCGGCCGCAAGCAACCTCGGCTCTTTGACGATGTAAGCTGTAGCGGCATAGTCAATTTTTCTTTATCAAAGTAGATCCTAGCGCCTCGGCCACAAGCGACTTCGGCTGTTATCTCTTTGACACTTTTCAACACCATCCTCACGCTCCAAAACCTTTCGTTCATGGCGCAGATCGGAGCCAGGTTCGAGTTTTGGGGCAAGCTATATTAGCCACATATTCCACGCCCTCAGACTCCAAGTGCCTTATCTTTAGAGAACTCTATCGCCTTCAACAAGTAACCCGCACACTTCATTCTCGCACAATTTGTTCTCTACATCCAACGTCACAACCACCGTATCCAACATACGATGTTCCAGTCGGGTGCTTTTCCTTTACCCATAACTTTAATCATTCCTTCCAGTTTGCTCGCAGTCACCTGCTCGACCACCCATCGATTTTTATTCTCTCTATATCTTTCCATAACAATCTTCACCTATTCTCTAATCCTTACGTGACTTAATAATTCTCCTTCTTGCTTATTCGCAGAGAGCTTTGTAAGAAAAATTTTCTCCAGGATGCCCTCCCTAAGAGCTGCACGCCTCATTACCGCTGATCATCAAAGCACTCTTTGCCTTCTTGATTTTCAGAACCTCCTTACTTCCATTCACCCCTTTTCTCTCACTCTATCTCCCATCTTCTAAATGCATCTGTTTTAACATTCAACACTTATTTCTTGTACTCCCTCCTGGTATCCTTGAACTCGCTCTCTGTGCCCTCCGTCCGTGGTATATCCTTCACAGCTTTCTCAGTTCACTGCGTTTACGCTGCAAACCTTTACAACACCAGCTTGCATTTCGTTTTATTTCTAGCACGACCCAAGCAACTTCACTCAGTCCCCAGTGTCATCTGGAAGTCATCCCCTGGTCTCGCGTACACACAAAATAATCTCACTTTACTACAGCACATCACACGTACTTTAGCAGGCACTGTAACATCAAAACCCCATTCAAAAGCACAATTACACACTTACTCTTTTCTGAAACCGCATCACTCTCCCCACATATCCTCATATACGGCTTCTGTAACGTCATCATATTCATTTATCACATTCATCGCATCCACTGTGGCATCTCTGTCTCTGGCATATCTTAGTTCTTGCGTGAACTCCTAGAATAGCTATAGGCTGTAAACCTATGTCCTGCAACTTGCCTGTCGTTTGTGTTGGACCACAATGTATCCAGCACCGGAGCAAGGGAAATTTTCTTCCAAAATAGGGTTCTTTATCCGTAGTAGACACTGAACTCAATTGTTGTTCAATTATTAACTAGTTTATGTATATTACAAACTGATAAGAATATGCGACTGCGCACAAAGTGTTTACATAATGACGTAGAATTTTTGCAATATTTTCTGTTCAAATACATATCTTATACAGCTATCTTTAATCGTACTCTAAATTGTTACCGTTTATGTTTATGTTGTTACATAACTAGGATCTTTAAGATTAATCAATTAATATATGAAATTTTTTTTTTCATTATAACAGTTTATATATTATTTACTTTAGTTATTTTTATAACGGTTATTACTGCGGTCTTTCGATATTTGCCGACCTTATAGAGTGCAAGTTAAATCAGTGGCATTTTTGCCTTATCTGCTCTTGCACCCATTGAGCTTGAATTGTGAATTGTATATTTCTTGATTTATTCTTATTTTGTTGTTTATTTGGCTCAATAAAGTATTATTATTATTATTATTATAAATGAACTGTGTGTTTGAATATTGTATGAAATACCTAGATAAGGGTAGGGATCTAATTTATTTTGAAGTTATCAATGTAGTAAAAGGGAAAGATTTAAATAGGGGTGGTATTCACCTGAATGAGCATGGGAAGAAAAAAATAGGTGCTCTTTGTTTTTTAATGATAAAGTAGTGAATAAGAATTATATATACCTAAATAAATTAAAAAAAATAAATATTGTCCCGGAGTGCAGGTCGGCTTGTGTTTGACAATGTGACAGACTTTGAGCCTGCCTTCAATACCGATCCCACTATCGGAATCTATTACTCTGTTATCATCATAATAGATTTGCATTTTTCTATGTAATATCTTTTCCGTTTTTGGTTTTTCTCCGACAATCTCACAGCCAATTCGGAAAAAATTGTCTTGACAATATTTTTGTTAAATTAGAACAAGACGTAATAGGGTCTGGAGTCATCATAAATAATATCTCTGACCATCATGGCCAATTTGTGTCAGCAGCATTCCA